TAGCACCCCCGTATCCTGGCCCTCCCTTTGTTCTGCTACCCTGGCCCATCTGGGCATGGCTAGTCTAGTGAAGAGAAGGACCAGGGGAGACAGGATAGCAGCCTTCCAATATTTGAGGGGCAGCCACAGAGAGGAGGAGGGGATCAAACTATTCTCCAAAGCACCCGAAGGCCAGACAAGGAATAATAGATGGAAACTGAATTAGTCTAACCCCCTCCTGCCCAAGCAGGAGACCCTACAACATTCCTGACAGATGGGCAGTCCAGTCTCTTCTTGAAAGCTTCCAGGGATGAAGCTCCCACAACTTCCGAAGGCAACTTCTGTTCCATGGGTTGATTGCTCTCACTGTCAAAAAATTTCTCCTGATTTCCAGGTTGCATCTCCCCTTGCTCAGTTTCCATCCATTATTCCTTCTCTGGCCTTCAGGTGCTTTGGAGAATATCTTGACCCCCTCCTCCTCTCTGTGGCAGCCCCTCAAATATTGGAAGGCTGCTATCCTGTCTCCCCTGGTCCTTCTCTTCACTAGACTAGCCATGCCCAGATGGGCCAGGGTAGCAGAACAAAGGGAGGGCCAGGATACGGGGGTGCTAATTAACTCCCCCCTCCCTAAAACGCATCTTTCTTACTGTTTTGAGCAACTGTGCCTCTTCAGCTTCGTGGAAACGCTGGGCCACTCGGAGTTGCAACCAGCGGCGTCTCCACATCTCCCAGACCCACCGAGCTCCTCTCCACCATCTCTGTGGGAAGAGGCATGGCACTGATGAAGAAACCCCCCAACCCTGGTTAAAATCATCCCCCAAAGCATCGTCCTATTGGGTCTGTCCCTCTGAGTCTTCCCTTTAACAACTTTTAAGACGGGGTGGACTTCAACTCCCAGAATCCCTCAGCCTGCCTGCAAACCCAGGAAACATGGGTGGGAGGATTTGCTCTCTTTGTGGTGTTCCAATTGCACAATGCTACCTTAACTCTCCTTCCAGAGGTGGGTTTGCTGCCGGTTCGGCTTGGTTTGCCCACCCACCCAGACGCTTCTACGCATGCACAGAAGTGTTGCGGGTGCTCGTGAGCACTTGCGCGCACGAGCAAACCAATAGCAAACCAATTAGCAACCCACCACAGCCTCCTTCCCATCATGCTGCCGATAGGGCGTGTCCCTTCCCCGTTGCTTAATATGGACTAGAGACTTAACGGCACTTTTAAAAGCCCAGATTCCCACCAGATGATATAAAAGACACAGCTGTCCCCGGGAGGTGTGCAAGTTACTCACCAGCGTTTGGATCGCCAGCTCGGTCCTGCAGGCGTCTTTCCAAAGCAGCCAGGCCTTGGCCAGCTGGCGTGCGTCCCGCACGCCCTGGAAGCGATGCAGCTGGACGCTGCGTTTCCACAGCCGTCCATATTTGCTCCTGGAAAGGGTGAGGGGTCAAAGGGCAGAGGAGTTAGCCACACAAGGTGGGCCATAACTCCTTGAGCCAGGGTTTAAATACATGGAGAAAAGGAAGTTTGGTTTTGTGAATTGGGCAAGGGGATGGGAGGAGGCATACCTGAGGCACCTGCAGGCACCTGGACCTAATTTTGGTGATGGTGCTCACAGCCATCCAAGGAAATCCCTTAATCTGTTACATTTCCCTTTGTTGCCCTTCAAGTTTCCAGCTCTCATGAGCCAACATGGACAGCCAAACTTAACTGGATTTTCTTCGGGGGAATCTTTGGGTCCCCCAAGCAGCCACAGTCCTTCTTTTTAAAGGAAGTTTTCCCCAAATTTCCTGTATGAATAGTCCTCGACCTTACGACCGTTCATTTAATGACTGTTCTAAGTTACTACAGCACTGCAAAAAGGAACTTCTGGTCGTTTTTCACACTTACAAGCAGCATGGTCACCTGTTCAAAATTGGGGGATGGGGAAGTCAGGTTCGCTTAATGACCGGGTTACTCACTTAACAACGGCAGTGATTCCCTTAACTTTACTTGCCAACTGGCGAGAATTAGGAAAATATGGTGATGTAGCAGGGTTAAAGATTCATAGAGAAAAGACTAAAATGATATCTAAAAATTTGAAGGAAGAACAAAATAAAGAATTAGAAAGAATAATAGGACTGCAAGTGACAAAGAAAGTTAAATATCTT